GGCTTAGGATACAAGCTCAGGTAATCTCAGGTTAAATTATCACAAATGGCATCATATTTTTCATGTATCAAAACTCCAACTCTCTAAAAATATACATCAGTACACTTAATATTTCCATACATACATATATATATACATATATTATATACATATGTGCATAATGTCTGAAAAAAAAATGGTCATCATAACTATTATCAATTCATCATTTAATACTGTGTGGTAATATTAAAAAATTCCAGAATCGTGCCTCCAGATTTAACAGCTTATTATAAAAAATAGGTATATAAACTATGGAAAAATAAAAAAAAAAAAATAAATGAAAATTTAAAATTTAAAAATGAAAATGTGGGTAGAACTATTTTTTTTTTCTTATTTTTTTTTTAATTTTTTTTTTTTGTGTTTTCTTTGTAAAATAGTTTTGATGCACCCAATGAACTTTAAAATGAAATATTTATATACTAACAATAGTAATAAGTAATATACTAACAAAATATTGTATAAAATATAACTATGTACGTATGTATACATATGTATAACGTTAATTTGTTAATATAGAACGTCCGATTGCAATCTGACAATAAACACGTTTTTAAGTGATGATGCTTACGGGCTTGAATTTAATTAAAACTTTTATTTTACTTATATAATTTAACTATTATATTTATTTTTATTACCTGTTATTATTAAATTATTGTTTTTTTTCTATTTTCATTATAATTATTGTTGTTGTTGTTGTCAGAACAGTACCTCTAAATTTTAATATTTTTATATTTTTTTACTTGTTTTAAAAGTGGAAACAATCGATTCTATTCTGTTATTCTCTATAAAGTTGTAACAATGAATCTTTCACTTGATTTATAATTCATGATTTTGGTTTTCCACTTACATTTTTTAATTATTGTTGTTTTTTTCTAGAATGAGAATTAAATTAGGGAGTGGAAGCTCAAAAAGAACAAAGTTGTAGTATGATTATCTAATCTGAAACGGATTTTAAATGCAATTTTATAATAATTAAACTTTTTATATGATTTTTTAAAGTGGGAATTTTTTGAAAAACAAAAATTTATCTGAGATTATATTAAAAATTTATGGAGTAAAAGCAAAACTATTAACGGATTTAAAATTCGAAGAACTATATTAACACTAACATTGTAACACTTTTTTAATCTGGAAATAAATTGAGAATTTTTTTTAACACTTAACTACATAACATATATTTATTTATAGAAAAAGAACTTTCAATTGTGCTTAGTTTAAATTTTATTTCCAAAATTTTAAGATGCAACGTTTCACGGTCAAATATGTAAATTTATTCATTTCTATAAAGATTCTATAAATCAGAAAAGACATTATGCAGGAGAATATTGTGGAAGAGGAAATTTTTGAATTAATAAGACGAAATATATTTAGATTTAAATAGAATTACTTTCCCTATGCATATACAGGTCAATTAGATTAAATCCCGCATGTAGTTCTGTAAATAAAATTATTGTACTTTATTATATGGTTTTTTACCATTACTTGATCAATACAGATCTTTATTTAATTATAATTACGTATTATTTATGCAGGGGACAGTAAAATTGATATCATAACAAATTACACGTACGTATGTATGTATATGTATGTATCATCAGGTAGTATTATAGTACAGGTAATATCATAAACTATAAAATTAAACTGTTTATCAAAGGAATGGACATTTCAAATTTTGATTTCAAAATCTAATTACAGAATAACTAAATAAAAAATTAAATGTTATTTGAGATAATTGCAGCGTGTCAACAATATGTCCAACATTTTTTCATAAAAACTAGTTTTTTTACTTTCAAAAGCATTACGCAAAAAATTGGCTTATAAAACATGAAAATTAATTTATATATTGGAATCTATTCCAAATATGTATATGGAAAAATGATCTAAAAACTATAAAACTAGTAAACTCTTATAAAAATATAGGACAGTGAAATTTTTATTGTTTTATTTTAATTTATAATATGATTTTTAATTAAATAGTTTACAAAAGAGCTTAGTTTTAAAATTCCAGAACTTGGAAAAATATAAAATTGAACTAATCCTAATTACGCCAGCCAAATAATCTCATGTTCATTAAAAGGAAGTAATTCAATAGTTATGTATAAAAATAGTTACATATTGTTCACATAAATATTCGAAAGTACTTTATAAAAATATTAAAATACTGGGATCACCTTTGTAGCCCTTGCGTAACACATTTAATTCTTTATTCTATTGAAGTGTCTATTACGTGTTAAAATTTAATCATTATGTAAAATTTTTATTCAAATTATAATGTAAAAATCAATCAAATTTAAAAAATAAAAGAAAAAACTAATTTTCATTTTAGAATTTAGAAAAAAAAAATTGTAAGTTGAAATAAAATTAATATCCGCTAGATTAATTCAATGTCCGTTAAATTATTTCACATCAATTACATACTAAATAATTAATTAATTTTGTGTTCAAAAACGGTTTAACCCATATTTTTTCTTTCATTCATTTCTTCTATACTTTTACATAATTGAAAATTTTCCTTTTATATATGAGTAGAATTTATTGTTCTAAATTAGAAACTAATTCATTACAAAATAAATAAAAATAATGCAATTTTTCAAAAAAAATAAATAAAAAATTAAAATTTAATTATTAATTTTTCCACCATCACCACCAATTAATCAGCTTTAATAAACAAAATATACCCATATAAATAAATGTTATTATTCAACCTCAAACTATATAGAAAAATGCAATAACGCCCCAATACAATATTGTGTTTATGTATATATATTGTTATGTTATATAAAGTAATATAAAAATTAGAGTCAATAAGTTCAGTAGTTCAAGAAAAATAGAACACTTTTGCTATTATTATAATCGAAGTAAACAATATACATATGTATGTATGTACGTAGAAATAAAAATAAATAAATTGAAATATTATACACTAACTACATATATGTAAATATTATGTACATGTAATAAAGCGATTATGATTATATAATATTGAAAATTTTTTTCAATTATTACGCTTATTATACGCTAATTTTAAATTTCATATATTTTTTGTCTTAATTCTATAATTTACTCCCTCAAAATAAACGTCATATTCACTTAAAATTTACTTAGATTTATAATATAAACACAAATAGCTAATACACGTATAATGTATGTAAGCACAGTTAGCCACAAATATCTGGTTTGCTGTCAAAAAATTCAAATTTCTAGGGTTAAATTACTGTGGTATACGGCGCTTATTCATAAAACAGAAAAAAAAAAACAAAAAACAAATAAAAAGATATTTCCTGATACGAGGTCTTATATTACAATATATTTTCATTAGAATAACCATAAAATAATAAAATGTACTATGTAATTGAAAAAATAAAAAAAAAAAATAAGAAGAAACGAGAAATAAATTTTTTTAGAAGAACCACAAGACACACATAATTTTGCATAACTTAGAATTTACAATTGATTTAAATTTTGCATAACTATAACAATACGGGGATTTATTAGTAATGCATAATATTTTAATCTGTGTACATAAATTATACATTTAAATAGATACAGAGTGTTTAAGTACTTAGCCATAACAGGCTTAAAACTCAAAAAATTTATTATTCTTTCGGAAAATCCATTTTGTGTGTTTATATATATTATTAGCTAATCGTTGTCGGTAGACTAACTTATAAGTATATTTATATTAGTAAGTCAATACTCATACATATTATACAGTCATTTTAAAAGACTTATAACAAAAAGTAGTTAACGGGAGTTGTTTGGTGGGAATTCTGAAAAGCCATCAGGATGTTCTACAAAATCCCGGAGATTTTATAAAATTAGAATCTTCCGTCTTGAAATTAGTTCCCAACAGTTTTTGTTTTTTCAAAAGTTGTTGATATAGTTGCGTAAAATATTGAAAAGTTTGAGCTTCTCGTAAGGAACAAAAAAACAAAAAATATTAAGTATTAAAAAAATATTTCTAAAAAGTATCGAATAAGTTACCGGGCAGAAATTGAAATTTATTGATTTAACTTACTCAAATACTTTAAAAAAAATTTAAGTTGCAGTTTTAGATGTCTGCAAATAATTTTCTGAGTAATTAACCTAATATTTAGCTTTACTTGTCTGTCATTATAGTACATGTTATATAAACTGTAAAAAATTTGTACACACCCTCTGAAAAGTTAATTAAATTGGTATTTTTATGAAAAAAACAATACAGGAGATTTTAAAATTAAAGTTCAACCCAAAGAAACTCTAAAAACACACATTACTTTTTTTTTAAGCAATTTATTATATAATTTCATTATTGTTCACTAGACTAGCGATTTTAATCTTAGGAAAAACGCAGCAACAACTCAATTATTGTTTATGTACGAATTTAGGTACATTTTTATATTACATGTATGCACTTATAATGTTTACCACAATCATATACTGAAATCCAATAGATTTGTATTAACAATAATTATTGTTGATTTGCATTTAAGGCGGTTTTTAAAAGGCGTCATCAACCAAAATAACCAAATAATAATAACAATAATTTTGGTGTATAATCATAATCTAATATTATAATAACTATTTTTATAAAATTTTTATTGTTATTTCCATCGCTCAAAAATTATTAAGAAATTTATTTATTTAATATTTAGCATATAAATAATAAAATAATTTTGTAGAAGTGCATATTATATAGCCATGTATGGAAGAAAGCTCATAAACAGTATGAAATCTGATATCATACAATTTTAAATATTACTATATTGCATATAGAGAAAAATAAAAATTTCTATATTATTGGATAAGTATATAAAAATTCTCAAATGCCACAGAATTATGGGCTTATTAGAATATATTATAAAATTTAATATATTTTACATAAGTAGTAGAGTTAGAATAATATTTATTATGATCCATGTAAAATAAATTTAAAATATTAATAGAATTTATGTAAAAAAAATAAAAATATTAAAACTTACGCCTTGAGGTTTTTTGTGGTTAATTAACCGCTGATCAGTTTTCCGGACCATAACAACTCGTGATAATGAACCACAATCATGTGATGAACTGACCGCTGGTATCCGAGTTACATCCATTAATACTGGTCGTGTGGGCCTTTAAAAAATAATTGAAAATAAAAATGAAAAATATATCAAAATAAATTTCGTAAAATATTTTTCAAAAATTATTTATATATGTAAAAAACATTTCTTGTTAAAAAGGAAGGAAGTTTAAACTATATGCATGTAATTTTGTTAGATTACATTTGGAGGAATTGTGTATTTCATAATTTTTTAAGAAAACATTCATGTATGCAAGAATATTAAATAAGTATGTTAAATTAGTATTCCAATTGAATTTAATTTTAAGTTTTTTTTAAATAGCTCAAGAAATTTCATTTAAATTAATTAAATACTATAGCAAACATAATTACTTATAAGTATGTATAGATATTCTTCTCCAATTCGGGTAAATTCCGATACAATATGAGTATAAGCTTGTTTTAGCGTTAAATATTTTTGCGTTGTGTTTTGGCGAGGTAACAAAGCAAAAACTATTATTCTTTTTTTTTTTTAAATTTTTAAATTTTTCATATACGGGGCGATAAAAGAGCGTATATAAATATTAACGCACATTTTATGTGTCTATGCTTAGTTATATGCAAATTCATTCATGAAATAATAAAATAATTAATTAATTTTGATGTTATTTTGTGGTTAAACGCAATATGCATTAAGCATACATAATGCGTTCAAATACAATAATTTTAAAAAAATCATATTAAACTAGTTAGTATTAGCTAATAATATTATATACTATATTTAATACATACACGAGTATACGTAATTCATAATTCATATAGGAACACAATATTTGAAGCACAACATTTAAAATCCAACTATTATTGAATTTATTGAATTTGAAAACATAAGACTTAATTTTAGATTTGAATATTAAAAAAATATTAAAAAAATTTATCAAGATTTTAATAGAAAAATTATTTATTTAAAAAAATTATACGAGTACATACTTGTAATTTTTTGATATATTTAACATATTTTGTTATTTTACATTAATATTATATTTATAACCAGCTTTTAACTATGGACCATCGAATATTTTCAATAACCTAGTTAAAAATTTCTCTCAAATTTTATTTAAATCTTGCGCAGAGAACAGTAGCTATCCTTAACATTTTTAAAATAGGTTTCAATATTTTTATTTTAGAAAATTGAAAACAAAAATTTTAATATTTCATTTTCATGTTTTTGTTTTATAGATCACATAACATAGATTAGACATTTTTTAAGCATATAGAAAGTTGTAATTTCAAATTAAATCAGGTTACGGTTATATGCAATCAAAAACAATTAACAATCGAACAACTACCGTATTCAGTAATATACAATGTTCTCTTATTTTCACTTACATAACAATATAAGAAATAATTATTTTTTTTAAATAACACAACAATCATCTGTCGTGATTACAAAACGATCTAGATTAATTAAGATTTTTCTGATATAAGTACTTACATAATATGTATAGTAATTTTCCCTAACAATCGATTTAATGTTATACATTAATTGAATAATTTATAGAATTTAATTTAAATGTGATTGATTTGTGATAAACGAAAATTAATTCTCAAATAATATAAAATAAATAAAAATTTTAATTCAAATATTTTTTTTATTTTAATTACAATAACAGTATCTTATTTTAAAATCAGTGATGTTGTATAATTTATTTAAAAAAAAAAACCTCCTACGCTGAATAGATATTCGATATGTGCATAGTTATACGAATGCATTTTCGAATAAGTTTCAAACAGAACACGGAATAATTGAAAAGCTTAATAGTTAAGTAAATTTTAAATTCGCCCGAAATCTCATTATTTGGCTTAATTTATAACACCTTAGGTGATGAATCTTTTGGTGCAACTTCGAAAGGTAATATTAAAGGGTAATTTTTGAAATAGGTACAATTTTCTTTTATTTAACAATATTTATAAGTTTGCACTTAAAACAAGAAGTAAGAAAACTTGAGCAAGAAAAAAATTTAAATTGACAAAAGCGTCTCTTACGGGTGGGATGAAATATATTAAGTATGTTTACAAAACCTTCATTATTAATATTGTTTAAAAAAATAAACTCTTTAGTTTCCTTTTTAAATGGACACTAATTAAATACAAATTAAATATTTCAATATTATAGCTTCATTATATGTAGTAAAAGATTTTTTTAATTAGAAATGATTTTATAAAATTAGATAAACGTAATATAAATAACAAAAGTAACAAAAGCAGTAACCATTTCCTGGATTCATTTTTAATGAATCCTATTACCAATCTTAATGCTATAATCAATCAGTTATAATGAACAATATAACTGTTATATAAAAAAATCCATTATCAAAGAATAACTTCATTTCTATCTTTTTCTCTTTTCTAGCATACATCTATGTATATTTATATACATGTGTACATAAAATAAAAGAACCTGTTTTCTTTTCTTTACACTTCTACACCTCATTAACACTATTATTGTACATTTTCTTTTCACATAACTAATTTATATTAAAAAATAGAATTTAATTGGAGTCCTTTCTATTAGAAGTAAAACAATAGAACCAACTTACAATACGGCATTTATGTATATAACTAATTATGCATTTGCTGCTATATACACATACATATACATACGGTCTTTTAAATTGGAATGTGTACTTGAGTAACTTTGGGAGTTAATATTATAATTGTATTTATTGGTATTCCAAAATCTGTATACATAGAAGAATAATAAATATTTTACTAACACTTTAGCCTTAGATAATCAGATTATTCATTTATTATAGAGAAAATGTTTAGATATAAAATAGAATATATAGAACAATAAAAGGGACAAGATTGTGAATATGAAACTTATTGAAAGTTATTTTATGGAAACAGTTAACTTTATGGTAATAAAGTTAACTGTTTCTTTATGTAATTTAATTTTATACTCATATCGGGTGAAAGTAAAATGGTTAACTATATCATGATGTGACCGTAAAATTCTAACTTAATCCAAATTATGTAATTGTTATTCAAAGGAAATTGAGTTAATCAATGGCATTTGTTTTCAATTTCGAGTATCGGTTTTAAGGAAAATTTGAATTTGGGGCTTTGTTTATTAAGTAAGGAAATAATATGATCCGATTAGCTTAAAATCAAAGTTAAAAACCAATATGTGAAAAATTTTACTTATTCTCAGTTCAGTCTCTGAGTTAGCCATTTACGCTCGAATTTTTTTTTTACGAATCCAATACTCAACATTATGGTAAAATAAAATATTTCAAATTTTTCTCTAACGTAAAGTAACTCAAAAGTGAAAGTTTTATTTATAATAAAATTTACAAATAGTTTTTGAATCTACTTATTTAGTCTTAAATATTTTAACTAATGTTATAAAAATTTCAAAAATTAAAGGGTGATTATTGCATAACATACACACTTACAAAGATTTTCAATTCGACGAAAATATGTGTTTGGTTTTCAATAAAAATATAAAGGGTTACTCAATTGACATAATCAAATTTAATATTAATATTTCGAAAAAACATTTTTTGAAAACACCAAAATTTCATTTTTAATAATTATAAAATTGGTGACATAAGTTTTTTGTTTTACTTATAATCACCCTAATAATACTGAATGATCTTGTGTATTACAATAATAATATTTTAATTTTTAATATAAAATTTTATTTTTGAACTATCTTCAAAATCTAATCAATATAACATAACTATACATAACGTAAGTAATAAATTATAATTCCAAATTCATTTCAAAACTAAAACAATTGAAATTTTCTTTCGCATAATTAAAATTTCTAAAACAATTCCGGAATAGCCCTTATACTTAAACTATTTGTATATGAAAAGAAAATCTTCTCTATAATGAAAATATTATATGAGAGTTGCATATTAATTTGTACTCATTTTAAAATCTAATATGAAATTAAAAAAAAAAATTTCTAGTATGAAAAAAGAGTAAATGTTTCACTATACTAAGTTTAAATTTTTCAATTATATTTTTGTAAATTGCCGACTTTCATTATTATATAGAGTTTGATTTACAATTGCTATACTTATGTGCACAAACTATGTAATTATAGATATCACAATTATATATATTACCATATGAACATTCATTTAAGGTTTCGAAGTTAACCTATAACAATGACAAAAATTACAAATATAGAAGAAAATAATTAAAAACGAAGAAAAAACAAATTCGAAATTTTCAAAATCAAGGTAGATTATGTATATTATGTAGATATCTAATGGCCATTCGAATTACGTGATCTAAATTAATAAAGTAATATTATTATTGAAAAATCTAACATTAGAGTAACGTATGATTTATATATGGGTATGTTCATATACAAATATTGAAGTCACATACTATTTGTTAGTAGGACTTACATAGTATGTATATGAAATTTGTTGTCATAATCAAATTTTATTATTCATTAGAAAATAGTTCTAATAATTTACAACAAAAAAATTACTTACAAATCACATTTTCTTATAGGCACTTTATACTGCTTCTTGCAGGGTCTTTTCAAATTTTCAAGTAAATGCTATACAAGCATACTAATTTTTAAAAAAAAAAATGCATTTACAATGTAAATGTTAAAAATAATTTTCGTTGCTATTTTGTGACGTATATAACGTACACGTGACAATGATGACAATTCTATGCCATTGAATTCAATATCAAAGAATTTTTCTTCTTTTCAAGAAAATGAAGGGATGTAAACGTAATTTTTGTAAATCTTTTTTAGTTTATGGAATTTATGAAAAATTAATTTAAAAAATTCATGTTCTATAGACACATTATGGCATGTATAGATAGTTTGAGAGAAAAAAAAATGATTGATGAACAACAAGTGCAAGTACGAATCCGTTTTTTTTTTTTGTGAATCTGCATTACATTTAGAAAATTTTTACTTTATGCGTCGCAATTTTTACAAGTTTTGTACTTTATAAGAGAAAAAAAATTTGTAATTCTAGATGAAGTAATTAAATTGATTTATGTCTTTCTAATTCGTTTTATGTTTTAAAAAATT